CGAGGTGCTGCGTCTGGGGGTGCGGCGCCTGGGGGTGCAGCGCCTGGGGGTGCGGAGTCTGAGAGTGCTGAGACTGGGGGTGCTGAGCCTGGGGGTGTTGAGACAGTGGGTGCTGAGCCTGAGGGTGTTGAGCCTGGGGGTGCTGAGCCTGGGGGTGCTGCGTCGGAGGGTGCGGAGTCTAGAGGTGCGGAGCCTCAGGGTGCTGCTTCGTCTGGGGGTTCTGCTGGTGCTATGCCGAGTCTGTCTCCGCAGCACTTCCGTGAGTGGTTTGTTCGGCGTACGCGCCTTCGGAGTGGAGCTTCTGGAGCTGGAGGTGCTGGCGCTGCTGGAGCTAGAGGTACTGGAGTTGCTGCTGGAGCTGGTGTTACTGGAGGTATCGCGACCACTGGTCCTGGAGGTGCTCGTACCCGGGGTTCAAGAGCTGCCGGGACTGGTGGTGTTGAGGGTGCTGGAGCTGGAGTCCTTACGGAGTCTGGTACTACTGGTGCTGGTGGCCCTGGCGCAGGAGGCCCTGGTGTTGGAGGTGCTGGAGCTGAAGGAGCTGGAGCTGTTGACACCGGTGGCACTGTGCGGCCGCGACCGTACTTCGTTCCCCTGCTCCAGCAGGTTCTTGGTACCCCGCCTTCTGCTGCCCTTACTCCTCCCCTCCTGTGTCCCCCGCCTGACCAGTCGTAGCCGCCGTTACAGCCCGCCTCTCCACTGCCTGCTCCATCTCCTTACACTGAGCAGTCTGGCGGTCTTACAGAGCGTCGTGAGCCTGCGTCTCGTCCTGTCTTCGCACTGCTCGTCGCGTTCCTCGTTCGCGTCCTCCTCCTGTCCCTGGCACGCATGCTATGACCCTTCGTCCTTCCTCTGTTCCTCTACGCGTTCCTCTGCCAGCTCCTCCTTAGTCCTCTCTTCCTGAGGTCCCTGACCCTGAGTCTGACCGCGCTCGTACTGCCAGTCCCACTGTCTCTCGTCTCCTCGCTACTGCTGTCAATGACCCTTCTTTTGAGTCTGCCGCTGCATCTGCTCTCGTTGCTGAGCTGCTTGACATTGCTGCTGCCTGTCGTCTAGACTACGCCACTGCTCTTGTTGCTGAGTCTGCCTTTGCCAGTCCTCCGTCCGTCGGGGGTGAGTGTGCTCTTGGCATGGACGTCCTTGAGGACAGGCAGGAGGGATTTGAGTGTCTTGCAGCTGCTGTACCTCGTTTCGCTTCCATGCTGCTTGCCCCTGAGGGAGACCCGGATGCACCAGACATCCCGACCCCGCGCTCTTACGCAGAGGCAGTTATGGGTCCTTACTCCTCTTAGTGGCAGGGAGCCATGGATGCCGAGATGGCATCCTGGAAGTCCACAGGCACCTATGTCAAAGAGGTTCCCCCGTCTGGGGCGAACATAGTCGATGGCATGTGGATCTTCAGGGTGAAGCGGCCGCCGGGTTCTCCGCCTGCCTTCAAGGCGCGTTACGTTGCTCGAGGCTTCAGTCAGCGACAGGGAGTTGACTACTTCCAGACCTTCTCCCCCACCCCAAAGATGACTACTCTTCGGGTGTTGCTGCACGTCGCTGCTCAGCGTAACTACGAGTTGCACTCTCTGGACTTCAGCACAGCTTTCTTGCGGGCAGCCTGCACGAGGAGATCTGGTTGCGCCGCCCATCTGGTTTCTCTGAGCCTTTTCCTGCAGGTACTCAGTGGAGTCTTCGGCGGCCAGTCTACGGTCTCCGCCAGGCGCCTCGCGAGTGGCACGACACACTGAGGACTACACTCGCAGCTCTTGGGTTTGCTCCTGCTACTCCTGACCCGTCGCTGTTTCTACGCACCGACACCTCGCTGCCGCCGTTCTACGTCCTTGTCTACGTCGACGACCTCGTCTTTGCCACTGCTGACACTGAGGCACTGACTCTTCTGAAGTCGGAGCTGCAGAAGAGACACACCTGCACTGATCTGGGTAAACTGTGCAGCTATCTTGGCTTGCAGATCACCCGGGACAGAGCTCGGCGCACCATCACCCTGACTCAGTCACACATGGTGCACCAGGTCCTTCAGCGCTTCGGCTTCCAGTTCTCCTCGCCACAGCCCACTCCTCTATCTACCAGCCACTTGCTCTCAGCAACACCTTCGGACGAGTCCGTAGAGCCGAGTGGTCCGTACCCAGAGCTTGTGGGTTGCCTCATGTACCTGATGACGTGCACTCGACCCGACCTCGCGTACCCTCAGCCTTTTGGCTCGCTACATGGCTCCCGGCTGGCACCGAAAGGTGCACTGGGATGCTGCGAAGAGGGTACTGCGTTAGTTGTGCAGTACGTCGGGCATGGGGCTCATGCTTGGAGGACGGGGTCCAGTTGTCCTCACCAGTCACGCAGACGCCTCCTGGGTGGACGACTTAGCTACGCAGCGGTCGTCGCAGGGTTACACCTTTAGCCTTGGTTCCGGCTCGGTTTCTTGGCGGTCTACCCGCTCGTCTTCAGTTCTCAGCTCCAGTTGTGAGGCTGAGATCTACGCCGGGGCCATGGCTGCTCAGGAGCTACGCTGGCTCACCTACTTGCTGACCGACTTGGGAGAGCAGCCTCGTTCGCCTCCAGTTCTGTACGTAGACAACAAGGCCATGATTGCCTTGTGTCAGGAGCACAGACTGGAGCACAGAACGAAGCACATCGCTCTGCGATACTTCCTTTCTCGAGAGTTGCAGCAGCGTGGCCAGCTTCGTCTTGCTTACGTGGCCACTCGGGCCAACACTGCTGATGTATTCACCAAGGCACTTCCGCCTGGTGATCATCAGCGCTTTGTTATTGTGTTAGGCCTTGTGCCTACTTTGCCTCACTTGCTGACTGCTTGACTTTGCTTGTACTGTGATCTATATATATACCTGCATGCTTGCACTTGCTAGGGTATGATCACTGTATTGTTTGTTCTCTTTATAAAACTCTGCATGTGAACTGGCCTTGTGGCCCTCTGCTTGTGCTCGGAATGTGTGGTGACTTTGTGATCCACCCTGAGCTTGCTTTGCTTTTCTTGACTGGTCTTGTGACCACTTGTTCTCCCCCACTTTGCCTATGGGGGTGTGTCAGAACATTATAGCTTATACATTTGTGTAGGTTGTAGTGGGGTAGCCCATAAGGGGTACAACCCAATTAGGTCTATTGTACCCAACTGTTTCTTAGTTCATTCATTCTCGTTCACAACATTTTAAAATGACACAGTACCTTGGACGAAACATTCAAGACGGCGACAATGCAATCCACCTCAGCGCCGAAAAATATACGGACACTATCGCTTAACGATTCGGACTCACTCCAACCGTCATCTCCAAGCCATACCATAAGGGGTACAACCCAATTAGGTTTAGTACTTGTACCCAACTGTTTCTTAGTTCATCCATTCTCGTTCACAACATTTTAAAATGACACAGTACCTTGGACTAAACATTCAAGACGGCGACAATGCAATCCACCTCAGCGCCGAAAAATATACGGACACTATCGCTTAACGATTCGGACTCACTCCAACCAACATCTCCAAGCCATACCGCTACACCGACAGGAAGAGAGGACGCAGGAGGAGACGGCAGAGGGACACGCTGCGGAGCAATGGAAAGACGCAGAGCCATCTGGTGTGTGCCAGGGACAGGAGGAGGACGCTGACGCGAACCACGACGATCAGTGCGAGCAGCACGAATAGGCGAAGCAAGACGAGACTCAGGCTCACGACGCTCCGTAAGACCTCCTGTTGGACCAGTGTCAGGAGAAGGAGCAGGCAGTGGGGAGGCTTTGGCTGTGGCCAGCGCCAGCAGCAGCAGCAGCGCCCTCGTGAGACCCTGTCGCCCCAGCAGCTTCGTGAGTGGTACGCTGGGCGTGGGAGGTCTGGGGGTGCTGGTCCCTGCGCTTAAGTTCTCCGCACCGGCGACCGCAGTGGAGAGACGTGCGGCGGCCCGCACGCCACGCTCCGCTGTTTCGGCCGCCTGACTGACGCCTGGCGTACACAGTTTCCTGACGCCACTGAGATCCCTCGCTGGGGTGATCTGCTTAAGTCGGGGGTTGCTATCTTTGATCTTTATTGTGATGCTATCCTTGCTGCTATATATGCTGTGTCTATTAGTGCTGAGGGTGACTGTTACCTGTGTGTTCCGCCCGACCCGGGCATTGAGGCTACTGCTCTAGGTGCTAGTGAGTCTGCTGCTCCAGGTGCTGGTGAGGCTGCTCTCTCAAGTACTGCGTCGGCTCAGGTCTTGCACACTTTCACCCTTGACTCGGGTGCTTCCCGCTCCTTCTTTCGCGACTGCACCACACTCTCGCCGCTCAGTCGGCCGGTGGCAGTCTCTCTGGCTGACCCCTCTGGGGGTCCGGCCCTTGCACACCACGACAGCAGGGGCCGCGACGGCAAGGGGCCACGACGGCAGGGGGGGGGGCGCGACGGCAGGGGCCGCGATAGCAGGGGCCGCGACGGCAGGGGCCGCGAATGCAGGGGCCACGACGGCAGGGGCCGCGACGGTAGGGGCCGCGACGGCAGGGGGGGGCGCGACGACAAGGGCCGCGACAGCAGGGCCGCGACGGCTCTAGTCAGGGCCGCGACGGCAGGGCAGGCGCACGGGGCGCAGGTAAGGCAGGCGCGAGGCACGCGACAGGGCAAGGAGCGCGCTTCGGGAAGGGCAGAAAAAAAAAAATAAGTGGTGGGCCCTAAAAAAAACGGTCCCACTAGGGAACCCGCTCTATACCATGTGAGAAATGTACGAGGAAATGATGTCGACTAGAAAGGAGATGGGTACTATGAAAACCTAGAAAAGCTGTACCCCATAGTGTCTACCCCACTACAGGCTACACAGGCTATATCATATATGTTTGACACACCCCCATAGGCAAAGCGGTCTCTCGCTACCCACAGCGCGCTCGGCCCACACCACCACGCCTCCCCCCCTCCGCGCACCTTCGCCACGCCCTTCCTCCACGAAGCCCTAACTCTCCCCGATCGCAATTTTAAGAACATCTTCCGAACGCCGGAGCTCTTCCTATCGCGCATCGGCCTTATGGTGATAACCGGGCTTATTCTCGGGTCGCTGTTTCTTAAATCCGGCTACGACGCGGAAGGCATCACGAACCGCGCGTCGTTCTTCGCGTTCGCGCTTGCGCTCCTCTTGTTTACGTCAACCGAGGGCCTTCCGATCTTCCTCGACGAACGGCAGATCTACATCCGCGAGACGTCGCGCGGCGCGTACTGCACCGGGTCGTACGTGCTCGCGGGAGCGCTGGTCTTCCTGCCGTTCCTCTTCCTCCTCTTGCTGCTCTTCTCGTGCGTCGCGTATTTCATGGTCGGGCTCGCGGCGACGGCGACCGCGTTTTTTCGGTTCGTCGCGACGGTGTTTCTCACGCTCGCGGTGGGGAATTCGTTTGTCGTGTTCTTCGCGGCGTTCGTGCCGAATTACATCACCGGGAATACCGTGGTCACGGCGATCACGGCGTTCTTCTTCCTCTTTAGTGGCTTCTTCATTTCCAAGTAAGATACTCGTGGATAGCATTCCACCGTACTGGATCTGGATAAAGTATTTTTCCACCGTCAAATACCGCTTTTCAGATGCTCACTATCCACAAGCATGGCTCCCTCCTAACCCTTCCCGTATCTCTAATCTACCGCTCTCTCCATCCCCCCTCTTCCTCGCACTCAGGAACAACATTCCACCGTACTGGATCTGGATGAACTACCTCTCCACCTTCAAGTACCCCTTGGAAATGCTCACTCTCAATGAGTACGGCTCTCTCCCGTCCGTTTGCTGGGAACACCTCGTTAAGATCGACCCCACCTCGCCCTGTATAGTCTCCTCCGACAACGTTATTGCGCGATTCGATATGGCGGATAGCAAGTTCTGGGAGTCTGCAGTGGTGATGGTGTCGTTCTTTATCGGGTACAGGATCTTGTTCTATTTTTCCCTAAGGTACCAGAGCGCCCTCGTCCGCAAGTGACGGAGGGGTCTGGTTTCAACAAATATATACGAGCGCATCGCTACAAGCTCACCTCTAAATACGACAAATTTGGCGCGCCTGGTATTACCTGCAGTACCTCTGTGGTTTCGGGTAATTGAGAGTCGCAAGCCAAGTGTGCGGAAGCAGAGGAAGGATGGAGGAGTGATGGACACCGTCAGCCCCCGGGGGTATAAAAAAAACACCGTTTTAGGGGGTACGCTTATAATCGAGGAAAATTATTAAATGGCAAAAATGAAATGTATTGTTTTAACATGAAATTGAAGCTTTTTCGAAAAGGGATTCAATCCACATCTAGAACGTTCGTAATCGTTTGCGAAAAGCGCGTCAAATGGCCAACAAGGCGTGGAATCACGCCCATCACGCCTTGCTGGCCTGGCCAGATTCATCGAACATGAATCTGGCCCATGCCAGCGCACACGCAGTTTAGGGTGCGACTGACCAATCAGAATCGCATGCTGTGCCAGGCACAACTCTGTACAACCACGCAATTGGCAGAAGCGGCAAGATTCCACTCCACCGAGGCATTGACCTCACCACCTCAGCTCCTCTGCGAGGGGGATCTTGACAGTTTTCCCCCATTCCCTGCAGAGGAACCCAGGCCGCGAAGTTGGAGGGGTCTCGGGCGAGGGTTTCAAACGAGGCTCATTCTCATCGTTTTTTTCATTTTTCTTGTTTTCCCTCGGCTTGCCTAGGCCGTGGCTGGCCTTCCAGGCACTCACTTCCTCTTTAGCCGTGGACCTGCTGTTGGCAACACTCGCGATTACTCTCAGTGGCAGAGTCGCCCATCGCCTCCTGCTCCTCCTGCTCCTCCAGCGCCTCCTGCTCCTCCTGCTCCTCCAGCGCCTCCTGCTCCTCCAGCGCCTCCTGCTCCTCCCGCTCCGCCTAACGTCGTCATCAACGGTCAGCCCGTTCTGCAGCTCCTCCCTCGCGGTTGCTCATCTTTCGACGCGTACAACTCCGGGCCCGAGCGCAGCGGCGACGATGAACCCGGCCCCGGTCTGTCGCCACGCTGGGGAGACGCGGAAGACTGCCCGTACGACGAATCCGCCACTGGTGCTGAAGACGATGTTGAGTGGTGGGCGGCCGACGGTCTTCCCGAGGACCTGCCTGTCCCTAGTTTCCCCCCCGTCGAATAAGAAACGGCCCCACCCCTCCAAACAGAATCGTGTGTCAAACATATGTTTATATGTTATAGTTTAGGTAGGCTTTAGTGGGGTACTCACTGTGGGGTACAACCCCTTAGGTTTTCCTTTTGTACCAAAACTCTCGACAGTCCAATTACCCCTTGCCTAAGAGCTTAACATGGCATCTAGAGCATAGGTCCTTAGGACCTAGGATTAGGGCCCACCGGTTACCATATTACCTCACCTGCCTACCTGCCTTGCCTACTGCCCGCGCGCGCCTCGGCTGCACGCGCGCGGCCCTTTTTTTTTCCCGCGCGCGCCTCTTAAGCAGCCCGCGCGGCCCGTTTAGGCCCCGCCCGCGCAGCCCGTTTAGGCCCCGCCCGCGCGCCACTTACGCCGCCCGCGCGCAGCCTGCTTAGGCCACGCCCGCGCAGCCCGCCGCCGCACGCAGCCCGCAGCCGCGCGCAGCCAGTCGCCACGCGCAGCCAGGAGCCGCGCGCAGCCCGTCGCCACGCACAGCCAGGAGCCGCACGCAGCCCGTCGCCACGCGCAGCCAGCAGCCGCGCGCAGCCCTCAGCCACACGCAGCCAGCAGCCGTGCGTGCCCTGCTCGTGTGCCTGCCTGCGCGGCCCGCTGCTGCCTAGCCCGCTACCTTAGAAAGCGCGCGGCCTGCTACTGTCTAGCACGCCGCCTTAGGAGCTTGAGTGCGGCAAGCTACTGCCCTGCAAGTTACCTGTGTTGCCTGCTGCCTGCTGCATCTGTCTTAGCCTGCGGTCTACTGCCTGCTGCCTCCTGTCTACTGCCTGCTGTCTCTGTCTTTGCCTGCGGCCTGCTGCCTACTGCCTCCTGTCTACTGCCTGCTGCCTACTGCCTTTGCCTGCTGCCGTTATGACGACGCCTAACATTCTCGCGTTCGAGCCTGACGGTCGCCCCATAGAGTTCGCTGTGTGGTTAGACGACCTCCAACTGTTCCTTCTGAACGATGCCAAAGAGGGCGTTTCACTGTTCGATTACGTGTCTGGCACTGCCGTTGCTCCTGCTGCCGATGCTCCTGCTCTTTAACGCTCGCAGTGGCAGACTCGTGATGCTGCAGCACGCCTAGCTATTAGGAACCATCTGCCGATTACTGGGCGCGCGCATTTCAGCCAGCACAAAACTGCTAAGAAGCTGTACGACGCTGTAGTTGCGCGCTACTCCTCCCCGGCCACTGCAGCCATAGGTCGGCTCATGCTACCCTACCTGTTCCCCGACCTTTCCTCGTTCACCACTGCTGAGGACCTCATTTCCCACCTGCGCGCTACTGACACTCGCTTTCGCGCCGCCCTTTCAGCCGAGTTCTACGCCGCAAACCCCCCTCGATGTACTTCACTCTCTATTTCCTTGTCACCCGCCTCCCTGACACTCTTAGCTCTGTCAGGGACCACTTCCTAGCACTAGACCCCACCACTCTCACTGTCGACGACTTCGAGAAGCACCTCCTCGCAGCAGAGAAGAACATCCTCGCTGTAGGTGCTGCTCGTGGCACTCCTCGCTCTCCCCTCTTTGAGGGGTGCTCCCCCTCCCCTCTCACCCCCTCCTACGCCTCCGCAGCTGCTGCTCACGACTACCTTGGTGCTGAGGAGGTCGGAGCTGCTTCCGCTTCTAGTGGGAAGCGTCGCAGCGGCAGGGGCGGCAGGGGTGGCAGGGGCGGTGGGGGTGGCGGTGGAGGTGGCGGTGGTGCAGGCGGCGGGGGAGGTGGAGGTGGTGGGGGTGGTCGTGGGGGTGGAGGCGGTGGAGGTGGTGGTGGGGGCGGCGGAGGCACTGGGAGCGGTGGAGGGGGCAGCAGCGGCGGTGGGGGAGGAGGGAGCGGTGGTGGCAGTGGTGGTCAGGGCCAGCAGCAGTCGCAGCAGCAGCAGCAGCAGCAGCAGCAGCAGCAGCAGCATCAGCGTCAGCGCCAGACCCCCACTTCCCAGCAACTTCTTGACTGGTATGCCGGGCGTGGGGTTTCTGGGGGTCTTGGTCGCTGCCCCTATATTATCCGCACAGGTCCCCGCACTGGTCGCCAGTGCACAGGTTTTCACACTGAGCAGCGCTGCTTCGCTCGACTTAGCGACGCCTGGCGTGCCAAGTTTCCTGATGCTCCTGAGTTCCCCAACTGGGCAGACTTGCTTAGGCGTGATGTCCCTATCTTTGATCTTGACTATGAGGCAATTCTTGCTGCTATGTATGCATTGTCTGTTAGTGCTGAGGGTGACTGCTACTTGTGTGTGCCGCCGGCTCCTGGTATAACCTCTGGTATAGCCCCTGCAGCACTAGGTGCTTGTGAGTCTGCTCCCCCTGGTCCTGCGCCTGCACAGGCCTTGCACACCTTTACACTTGACTCTGGTGCTTCCCGCTGTTTCTTTCGCGACAGTACCACAGTCACTCCCCTCCCTGCACCTGTTCCTGTCTCACTGGCTGACCCCTCTGGGGGCCCAGTGCTTGCACGGTCTTCCACTATGCTTCCGTGTCCGGCGGTCCCGTCTGGTGAGCTGTCTGGTCTCCACCTCCCCTTGTTCTCTACGAACTTTGTGAGTAACGCTGTCCTCCAAGATGCGGGGGTTGACACCTTCACCCCTGGCCGGCAGCGTGTGGCGATTTGCACGTGCTCCCAGACTGGCCGCCACCTGGCCATGTTCACTCGTGCACCAGGGTCCAGTCTGTACACCCTCACCACTGCCTCGCGCTCCGCCCCTTTGTCTCCCCAGTTACACGCGTCTGCTCAGGTAGCTACACAGTGTGAGTGTCGCCGGCTGTCGCACGACACTCTCCCGTGGCACCACTGCCTTGGTCACCCCTCCCTGCCTCGCCTTCGTAGCATGCACTCTCGCTTCCTGGTCTCTGGACTTCCCAGGTCTCTGCCTGCCCTCCCTCCCTCGCCTGCGCTGCCTTGCATTCCTTGCGTCGAGGGGCGGCAGCGCGCCGCTCCTCACTCCTCCTCGTTCCCTCCCACAGAGGCTCCACTGCAGACTCTCCACCTGGACGTGTGGGGCCCAGCCCGCGTCCGTGGACAGGGCCACGAGCGGTACTTCCTGCTGGTTGTCGACGACTACACGCGCTACACCACGGTCTTCCCCTTGCAGCGCAAGGGGGATGTCCCTGCTGTTCTGATCCCCTGGATCCGCGCTGCTCGTCTCCAGCTCCGCGAGCAGTTCCAGTCGGACTTTCCTGTCCTGAGTCTGCACTCTGACCGAGGTGGTGAGTTCTCCTCAGACCTCTTGGCAGCCTTCTGTGCGGAGCACGGCATCCGCCAGACATTCACGCTTCCGGCCTCTCCGCAGCAGAATGGGGTTGCTGAGCGCCGCATTGGCTTAGTCATGGAGGTCGCTCGTACCTCCATGATCCATGCGGCTGCCCCCCATTTTCTGTGGCCGTTTGCGGTCCGGTACGCCGCGCATCAGCTCAACCTTTGGCCCCGTGTCTCCTTGCCGGAGACCTCGCCCACACTGCTGTGGACGGGGAAGGTTGGAGCTGCTGGAGGTGCTGGCGGTGCTGGAGGTGCTGGCGGTGCTGGAGGTGCTGGCGGTGCTGGAGCTGCTGAGGGTACTGGGGTTGCTGGAGGTGCTGGACCTGCTGAGGGTCCTGGAGCTACTGGCGGTGCTGGAGCTGCTGAGGGTACTGGAGCTGCTGGAGGTGCTGGAGCTGCTGGAGGTGCTGGAGCTGCTGGAGGTGCTGGAGGTGCTGGAGGTGCTGGAGCTGCTGGTGCTGGTGGCACTGCTCAGCCGCGCCTGTTCTTCGCTCCGCCGTCTCCGTCGTCTCAGCCACCACCTGACTCTGCACTTCGCCAGGTTCTCAGTCTTCCCTCGTCTACTGGTCTTCCGTTACAGCCTGGCTCAC